TAAAATATGGGATAGAATTATTTCTAATTATGCTTGTCAGTTGTCACTGTTATGATTACATAGTAGCGAATTGACCCGGATAAACACCATTGTTATCGAAAAACAACAACAACAACAATAAAAACAAGAGTTTATTTGGTACTATGAAATATTATTCTCAAGACCCATGTGAAATACCTTCTCTCTCTCTCTCTCGTCAACATAACAATATTGAAATCCAAAATCTATTGTTAGATTATGATTTTGTTACTGTCATGACGAAGACATGGGGTCATGAAGAAAAATAAAACAATCATGATTAAATCCACAATTTATTGTTCGCTGTTAATGTTATCAACATCATTTTGTATCTGTTTAAACATTGACCTTCTGCATATGAAATTATGAGTCTGTTGTTTTCATTTTCGGTTTCATTTTGAAATTTTTCTATGTTAGTTACTCAATTATACCGTGTACATCTAATACGAGGATGTTACACATCTGATTTTTTTTAAGGAAAAAAATGTCATACATATCTCTATATATGAAAAAATAAGATAGTTATTAAGCTATATAAATGTATTCCATGCTAAAAGTGGTTTCAAACACTCTTGCTATAGAGATTAAAATCGTTTGTAAGACACGTGTTGATATGAATTAGATGAATGAATTAAAAGGATTCCGTAAACATTTTAGATACTGTATATAGGGAAATTTTCGCTACCGTTTTATTTTCGCCTCTTTCGCCCTTCTCACAGGTGGGCGAATGTAAAACAGGGCGAATTCAAAGAACACAGTATTATTTCTGAAACAGAACTGCGCCTGGATGAATTTAAAACGGGGAAAGATTGTTTATAAGTGTGCAAGTTCGAAAATAAAACGGGGCAAAAATAACCCTGTCTACAGTAAATCGCCGGCTAAAGAATTTACATTAGATGTCTTCATTCTCTCAACAAGAGGAAATTTGTAAAACTACATAATAATTCACTTTAATTTTAATTACAGCAGTCATCAATCATAGTAGGCTAGAATTTTGTAAATATGACATGATTTCTTTTACTGTATCATAAATCTGAAAAAGAGGTTTCTCTGTTTTATTGTTTATTGTATATCTGCTTATGTTTGTTTTAATGCCCAGCAAGGCTCTATAAACCACCAGGTGAGTTGGAAGATAATTTTGGCTCAATCCATCGGTTCCTTAACCTTGCCACAAAAAAATGGATGCTGTGAACATATGTAACATTATTAATCGTTAAAAAAACTCATTCTTGCATTCCACCTTATTGCAAATTGGAGTCTACACCCTGTATTTCTTACAGATATTCCCAAACTATTGCTTCCAAACTTTTCAATTACAAACAAACCTTACAGTGCCTAGATATTGAACATCAAAGTCAAAGTCCTTTAAGTGTTCTTGTTCTTTTTCTTCTTCTTTCAACAACAGTCCCGCTGAATACTTCATTAGTGGTGGTGTTTATATAGTTGAAATTGAATGCCTACGAACAATCATCTTAAAAGGTCCTTAATAAGGGAGCGACAGAATTTCATTTATATTATGAATTCTGTCGAAGATTCTGCCAGACGTTGGACTAAATATGAAAGAGAAGACCTGAATATTTTGTTAAAATGGAATGAGTGTTTTAGAAATAAATTTAAAAAATCGTATTAGAAAGTTAAAAGGCAATATTCGAACCATCTATCCTGCCATTTTCATAAGGTGATAAAAGAACTGGAAATACTACAAAACAATATTAAATGGTTTTAGCAGACAGGGCTTGTAACAATATAGTCTTTGTTTCTAAGGTTCATTTTATAACTGTATTTGAGTAAAAATTGATTTTTTTCTACGTGAGGAAATCCATCTTATAATCACAGTTCACTTTCTAAGGTTGATATTCTTAAAAATCACATTTCAGTATTTAATATTTTTCACATTCCAGGCAATCAAGTTGAGTTTAATCTACCCTACCTTTACTGGATTCCTAAACTTCATAAAATCCTTCAAAAAGAAGCATTGCCCAGTCCAGCAAATGTTCTACCTAACCCCTATCTTTACTTCTTACAAAAATATTAACTGCTTAAAAGGAGAAACTTTTGAAACTATTATCCTACAGCATATATTCTAGAATTGTGTAATTCAGACGTGGATTCTCAAAGACTCCAAAGAAGTTTTAGAAAATTTAGTATCATCATTTTTTTAAAAAGTCAATAACATCAAAAACGGACACCTTTTTAGACATCATACAACCATCCCTCACGAAAAAATAGGCTTTTGATGTCATAGACAAGTGCTTCAATAAAAATGGAACTCGCATTTTTTTTTAATATATTGTTATGGGTCATCAACAAAATTACTTTGTTAAAAATCACTCTGATTCTACGTACAGGTACTCTGAAGTTGATAGTAAAAGGATGCTGGAGTTCCACATTGACATCATTTATGTAGTTTTCAGAGACCGGGTTTTCAAAAAAAAAAAAAAAAAAAAAAAAAAAAAAAAAAAAAAACAACAAAAACAAAAAATTGCTGGAATTCCGATAAGCGGTTATTGTGCTCCTTTACAAGCCAACCTGTTTTTAAATTCTTTTGAAGCAGAATTTATTCAAAAACATCTATATGGAGAGAAGAAGAAAAAAACTGCAGTGTCCTTCAACTCAACATTCAGATATAGTGACGATGTTTTCTTCATTAATAATAGTTACTTCCTATCATACGTCAACTCGGTCTCTCCGCCGAAATATGGCTGAAATATTGCCGACTCGGCATTAAACAATAAACAATCAATCAATCAATCAATCGCCTCGGTCTCTCCCAGTGAACTTGAAATAAAAGACACCACAGAGTCTGTCACATCTGTTTCATATTTTGATGTTTAATAGCTATAGACGATAAGAGGCAACTAACAACTAAATTGTTTGAAACATAGGATGACTTCAGCTTTTCCATCGTCAACTTTCCTTATCTATGTAGTAAAATTCCGCTTTCACCTCCATTTTTCCCCTCTCTAAGCTTATTCGATCCTCAAGTGCATACCCTGGGTACGATCAATTTTTAAACCGAGGCAGGCTACTGACTGGTAAGTTGATGTTACAAGAATTTCAACAATCTCATTCAAAGTCAGCTATTGGTATAATTATATAGTCGTTATAATGACCTGTTAACAAATATGACGTATCGTTGGCTAGTATTTTGGCTGACGTGTTCCATTCCAGTATGCCTTTGTTGTTATAATAATTTTGACTACGGAATGTTTCATCTATCTGTTAAATGCATAGGGTTCACGGCGACTATGACATTCGACAGGGGATACTTAATCCTCGAAGGCATCTGATCCCACCTTTTGAAATGTCCGAGGGTCTGTGTTTTATACCCTGTTTACAGATTTTTGTTGTGTAGATACTTTTTTGAGATCGATCACTCTTCATTAGCAGTACCTTTTCCATAAGAATCATCTCAATAAATTGAAGACACAGTACAGATGAGTGTGCACGAAACAAAAAAAAGTTTCTTACAAGGATTTCAATTATTTCTCTTTTCAAAATTGTTGATGTGCTTATATTCAATTCGGTTGTCATTAATTAGAACAAATAAAAATCGTATTTCTCAACTGCTGAACACTTGCAAGTGCCCAATCTGTAGATGCTCATTGTATCATGTATGATGTAAAAGGTGAAGATAACAAACAGGGATGAATTTAATTAATGCAGGAAAGAATACACATCGTGAATAGGGCAAAATCACAGACTTCTGGAAAAACCAGAGATGGGATCAGGTGCCTAGGACAAGTGTTTATCACCAGTCTACCATTCACTCCATTATGAGTCATCTCTATTGATCAGGTGACTGGAGTAATACGTAGCCAAATTGTTATTCAATAATGACCTACCAATAGGTGGGGAAAATGTCAGTCATACTAATGCATGTGACAAAATGTTCATTAAGACCATGGAATTTGCGAAATGCTGATATTCAAAACATTGTACCATCAACTTGTTTTTGTTGGTCGTATAACTTAGTTGTTAGTTGTCATTAACGCCCATAGTCAGAAAAATACTCAAGTATGAAACAGACTCTATTGTGTCTTTGATTTTGGGTTCAATGGGATATATTCTGTTGGAATATGAATATAAATACCTATTTTTGATTGATAAAATACCAACGATATATCAAGATGTTGAAATATTCATAAAGAGTTTTTTTTTAATCTCATGTAGAAGTTTCTGAATACAGTCTGCTTCATGAGACTATCAAAATTAGGTCGTCTAATAAAGAGGCACAATTCCACAACTTAAGTAATTAGACTGGAAAAGGATGTAATCATTTGTCATTCAACAACCTAAGATTAATTTAAATAAGTTTATACCTTTGCTTGGAGACAAAGGCTGGTCATTAAGAACTATTTTTATGCTATCCATTGGAATGAAGGGACTAGATCTTTAACTCTTCTGCTCCATTCCCGAGAAATAATTTATTTTTAAATGTAAATTAGTCGTTTTCCATTATGTCATAAGTTCATTTGAAATGAACTTATTTTTTTTTTATCCTTTATATTAAAACGAAGGTTAAAATTTTGGCATGTTCCTTCATATTTAAATACGTTTTTATAAATATAATTATTTTAGTAGTTGTTTCCTTGTTAATTCTATTATCTTTCTATTACTGGACAGGAATTTGACTTACCCCAATAATCGGTATGAATTTCATATAAAACACTTGTATACTAGTATAAATTATTTTGTGCTTTCAGCTAGATTTGATTTATTGAGACCATGAAATTTATATTTAGATTGTCCCAATTTTTTTCAAGAAATCGTATATACGACTTATAAAATTTTCAACCGTGCATTGCATAATTATTAAAGAATTATTGTTACTTGAAGGGAAAAAGGAATACATTGAAGTTGAAAAAAAATAAATATTATAATTTCATTTATTTATCGACGTTTCGTTGTTTCGACGAAAAATTGCATTGATATTAAATTTATAGGACTGTTGCTTCTTCATGTCTAATAATATTTCAAAATTTGTAGTTTATCGTTCATTTTATTCTGTGGTCTGCATCAACCAAGAAAACAAGACAAAATTGATATTCATGAAAAAAAATACAAATAAAGCATACTGTGGAATCATCATTGTTCGTTTGCGGCGGGGGAGGGGGTGTTGCAATGTTTATGGATCTCTAGAAACTCTTCCCAGTGCATTTTATTGACTCTTCTGTTTATGCGAGTTACACACGAACTTGCATCCCCACAAACCAGTAAAATTTTGGTAGACTACGAACATTGACCGACACGAATTAAAATGATTCCAGAGCATATGAGAATATAGTGTTGGAAATCAACCGTCACCGCGCCTCTTTTAAACAGATTATAATTCCTGAAGAAATCAAAGGAGATTCATTGCTCCCTGTCTTCCAAGTAATCTTGAAGTCTATTGGCTTTCATCGTCTTATAGAAGTCCATTTTAACTTCTATTACCTGAAATGAAAAAAAATATACAATGTTAGTTTCAATTATGATAGAGTTAAATTACAGGGTAAATCCCATGCCCTTAACTTCAAAAGTAACATACATGTACATACATTATAATTAATTGTGAAGAATAAGAAACAAATTCATTTTATATCTCATTTTTTTATTACCACTAGAAAAGGTTAAAGAGAACCATTTTCTTTAAAATAAAACATAGCTACCCGAAGTCTGTTATCCATCATTTCGAGGAAAATTTCAAGGCGGCTTTGGGCTTTCTCTAACTCCACAGTTTGTGAATATACTTTCTTTATATATCCCTTTCCAATCTTCAAAATATCGCCATTGCATCGTTTCTTGTACCTATGAATCATATCAAAATATTTTGTAAAATTCCTTTGGGTAAGTAATTCTCATGTATATATGTCTCGTATATAGAAAGACGCTTTCTTTTAAACTTATATAGTTTAACTGTTTTTTATGGATGAAGTTTACTCAAAGGACAAAAGATCCACCAATAGGAATGAAAAGCGACATGTTGGGCATACTTATAACCTATGGTTATAGCGTCATTTTTAATTCTTAAATAACTAGGTCAATGACCTACTTTCATATTATGGTTTCCCCCTGATTATTTCTCGGAAAGTAGCTCAATACTTTACACTTTCAACAATGTTTTCTTTATATAAGACGCAAAAAACTCATTGGATGATTAAGTACAGTAATAATTGAATATTGTTGCTAAATAAAAATAAAAGTTTGAACAATAAATATGTCCTTTACTTCAGTAGGAAATTCTTCTTTTTATTTTATATATATTACCCTTTTTAATCAAATATTACAAATATAGAATGACAAGAACTATAAACTAATTAAAGCTTTTTTTTAATATATTACCCTTATTCTCACAGTAATAGATTTATATAAGTTGGTTCCATCATATTCATATTCTTAAAATATGTTGTCTAGAATGTTTTTTCATTATATTTTTGATTTTCTTTATTGCATGACATTTAATAATTCCATGAGCTTTACACACATCATGTTTGCAAAACGATATATTGAAAAAAAATCGTCAGAAAATTAGAATTAATCCTTATTCCATTAAAATCACCAAAAAAAAAATACCTTCGTTCTTGTATATTTTCTTTAAACAGTAAAACATTAAATTTTGATATGAATATTGATTTCTAACCTGGGTAAAACAATTTTTGATTTAAGATATTGTACTTTATCTTAATCAGTTTCCGTCAATAAAACACCAAGTGAACGCCCTACTTATCACATTATCTTTTACGTTGTACTTAATAAATTGCTTTCCTAATTTTGACAACAGTTCATTAAGATATAAATAAAGACACATTAGTAAGAATTAAACCTGAACTTGCAAAACAACCTGCATTCATTAATTTTCTTAAATGATAATAAAAGTAAACGGACACAAGACCATTACATTATAGTTTCATAGATCCTTATACTGTAGAAAAAAATGTTTAGCCATAGATACAGTTCCACGTTACATACATTGTATAATTTTTTCCTACATGGTTAAAATGCTACGTAAAAATGTTATACTCTAAACATTGCCTTACGGAGAAGACATCGTCAAAAGTCTTCTGGTGTCCCGGGATGTCCTATTGTCCCCCTGAAGCCCTGTAATATAGCATTGAAATGGAAGTGTCAAGTACAATTTCAAAATACTATGGATGTTGCAAATTTATGGACGAATGAAAACGGCAAAAAGTGAAAAAAGTATCAAAGTGGAAAAATAATAATAATTTCAATGGCAAGAAATAAATAAATAAATAATATTTAATGTACAATCAGCATACCTCTTTGCAAAACAAATAGAAATGAAAGCAAAATGAACAATCCGGTACGTTACGAATACATGTACATATACATAAATGCAAAACGAAAGGTTATTTTTGCATTACAAAGAATACATAAACGTAAGAAGAACCAATAAATAACACAAAAAATGATTCTACGGTCACAATTAACAAACAGTGTTATTTGCCACAAACACTTATTACATCAAGATAAACAGTTTCCCTCCAATAAAAATGTATTGAAATCAACATACATAAACGCGTGATAAATAGACATACAAACCTAACAAGAAAACGCGTAGTGTCATTGGGGCTCCATGAATTAACCTTTTTTTATTATTCACAGAGGCATCAAGCAAAATCAAAATCAAAACGTGACTATCTCGTAATGTCGTCTCGAACGTGAGTTCACGGTAATGTTTTAAATCCCCCATAAAACATATTAACTTGTAATTAAAATAAGTTGTTAGCTCATATCTAAAAAGCATTTTAATTACAAGCACAAAATGACACTGATACTCGGGAGGCAAGAAGTACATATGTGAGGAAACACACACACACACACATTTTTTTTTTTAATTTTTGAGTAATCTTTTGCCGATTTATTTTTTAATTTTTCATTCACATAAAGGCTCGACCATACATCATTTGTGTTGCGGTATGATCGAGTCCCCCTCTGCCCCCCCCCTCCCCGCCCCTTCCCCTAAGAAACATTTTAATCTTGATTCTAAGTGTCTGGTAGGACAGATTTTTTTTTTATATTTTATTAATCTTAATTCATCTAAAAAATTTATTCATTTATATTTGAAGATGTTGAATTAAACTCGACACAGTATAATTAAATCATAGTTGACTTTTACAACTGTATAATGTGTTCCATGCAGTCACAATAAGAAAAAAAACAATTATATATGGCTGATGCTTTTTTATCTGAAACCATGCATATGAATTAAATTTTGATAATTATAAAGAAGTCCAATTTATTATCTCACTGAATGAGAATTTTTATCATCTTTCATCGTTATCCATCGCGCGACATTTCTGTCGTATATTTCAATGTATTGTTCAAGAGAACTGCAAGTGCATATATTTTTATGTCCCCGTAATCGAAGATTCGGGGATATATAGTTTTTGTCCTGTCCGTCCGTCTGTCTGCCTGTTTGTCCGCAAAAACTTTAACATTTTCCATAACTTTTGATTGGTTGGAGCTATGGCTCTCATATTAAACATGTCTATTCATTGTGACAAGTCCCTTCTTTGGGTGCCACAAATTTTGAACCCTTGACCTTGAACTTGGAGTTTGACCCAATTTTGCAAGAATTTACCCAACTTTAACCTTAGCCGTAACTTCTGAACAGTTAGTGCTAGGACTTTCATACTTCACATGTTTATTCAATGTGATATGACCTTTCCATGGATATAAATATTTCTAACCTTTTTTTCTTGACCTTTGAGTTTGCCCACTTTAAAAAAAACTATAACATTGGACATGACTTTTGAACAGTTATTACCAGGGCCTTCATATTTCATAGGTGTATTCTCTGTGACAAGGCCTTCCTTTGGATACCAACAATTTTGACCTTTCGACCTTGACCGTGGAGTTTGACCTACTTTGGAAAAACTTTATCCTTGGCCATAACTTTTGAATAGTTGGTGCTAGGGCTTTAATATTTTATATGTGTATTTCTTATGACAAGGGCTTCCCCTTGGTAATTTTAATTTGTTCCTTTGACCTTGACTTTGGAGTTTTACCCACATTTAAAAACCTTTGACCTTGGCCATAACGTTTTAATGGTTAGTGTTTGTGCTTCCATATTTTACAGATATGTTCATTGAAAACAAGTCCTTTCTTTGGGTTACAGCATTTTTCATGACCTTGGAGTTTGACTTGCATTTGAGAAACTCCAACCTTTCCCAAAGGTGTTATACGGGGGCATCAATGTTTCACAAACACATCTTGTTTTTTATTTGTACATCACTCAAGAAATGAGCCGGTCATGTAATCAAATCCTGTGAAGACAGAAAGCCTCCTCAGAAGATTTGATCAAGTATCGGCCCACTTTCTTTCCAGTAAAGTTTTCAAACTTGTTCTTCATTTTACATATATTCATTTGAGACGGACAATCATATTGAGTTAAATTGTTTGTGGTATGTATGCATTCATTTTCCATCAGACTTTTAAATTAAATGTGATAAAAAGTAGTTGAAGAAAAAAGGAATGCCATTCAGTGTATAAGATGAAGAATAAAGACCTTGTGAAAAGGACAATATTGAAACTAAGCCCTAAGTCATCAACGCAGCTGACACAAAAATCAAGATTAAGATGTAGTTAAATGCTCATTCTGTATGAATGAAAAAAAAAAAGATTTCAAAGATTTAAAGATTAAAATTATTCAATAAAACAATCATTATTTCTCTCTCCCTCTCTCTCTCTCTCTCTCTCTCTATATATATATATATATATAGACCATGAGAAAGTAAGCTAGATATATTGTGCCGTGTGATTTGGTCACGTGATGACCTATGACCTTTAGGAAACTTCATATAGGAATGAAGAATAATATTTACTCGCTGTGTGTTAATTTATAACATTAAGAAATACCACAAATGTATATATTTGCAAATAAATTCGTATTCCTTTAAGCTTGTGGTTTATGAATAGTTATACAACTTGACGCAACATTTGATAAATTCTACAACATTGAAGACATGAATTTAAATCATTGCCTTTCATTCTGTTTAAGAGGTAAGCACCAGAAAGTATTGTAATGTCAATTCTTTATGAAGTATAATTTTAATTTCGTACATGATAAAGAAAAATTCTATAAAGAAATGAGGGTGACACATGCTTTATTTCTTAGTGAATCCATTTAAACTTGACTTTTTGCGCACTTAGAAAATTAATGAAATATTCATTTAAACTACTGATATTTCCAAATACTATTATAAACATGACAATTTGTTTTATGACAATTAATATTCAAGGATAGTATGAATAGTTTTGGTAAGGAAAAAATACTTTTGGAGTCTAAAATAAACTGTATGAGTGTTGACCTTTTTGCACTTAAAACAGAGAAAATTTCACATGGGCAATGTATATGTTTCTAAAATGCAGTAAGGGAGAAATGCCATTTTAAAAATTTCTAGATGAATATCATTGCTACATCTATTCTGACTTATTGTCTCATAGGTTCTCTTTTCATTTTCTCAAGTCATAGAGGTTTTAAATAAATTATAATGGAAACAAATGAATTTATTTTTCAAGAGTTTTTTGTGAGTAAGACTTGTGTATTTCGATAAATCATCAATTGATTAATTCTGTAAACTACAGTTAAGTTCCTACTGTTTGTCTGTAGTCTGAAAAAAATAGTTGTGCATAACGATTACGTAATTTTAAAAGATGTTTAAAAGCCATTAAAAAACTAAAATAAGCAAATTTGTATGCATTTCTTGTTTGAAACCCTTGCTCAGAAGAAAAAAATAGCCCCCCCCCCCCCACCAACTCCTTTAAATAGCAGATGACTTTCTGTATTTTGATAAAATTAATTAAGGTTGTAAATTTACACTGGCTTATGAATATGAAGATAAAAGTTAAACACATAATTTGAAAAGTATAAATTCTATCAATTTGGAATCCAAATGCTTAGGAGCGTACTTAAATAGCAAAATAAACATTAATTCCCTTATCCAAACAATATTACAAGTGTTTACATATTATTTGTTAATATAGCACTTCATACTATTAGACAACATTTCAATATAAATTAAAAATCAGTGGTAATTTACCTTTTTTTCTATTGTTTAATGTAAAATAAAATCATTTGAATGGGTAGAACCCTTCTCCTACTGTTTCCTTTGGGACTAACCTGGTTTCAGGCTAATTTCCAAGTACATTTTTTCAACGTGTACGACTAAATATCACCCGCAAGAACCCAAGCCAATCTCGTATAATTCCAGTTAACTTTTGCGTTTTGATTACGAATTTGGTTTGGGGTGAGATTTTGTGGTTACGAGTCGATCAGGTTTTTTCTTAACTATAACTAATTCTGTTGACCTTTTTGCACTTACACAAGATTGAATTATTATATGACTGTTTTGGGGGTTACTTTCAGATCAAATATTGTTAATTTTGATTTTTAAAAAATCAGTACTACAGGGATTTTTTTATACACCAATCACCAAAGATATGTATAAATAATGAACAAATATTTTGAGTATGGATAGAATGTGAAAACGCATAATTTCATAATAAGTATTACTGTACATAAACACAATTTGAAACAGATCTATGATTTATTATCAAGATATTGTACATTTTTATGGAAACTGAAGATTTTTTAGCAATATTAAGTTGCATCCCGTTCAAATTATCATCGTTTCGTTAGCTTAGATGACATAGTAGCGGATTCCTTCCGACCTACGAAATTTTATTGTGACGTGATACGACGTAGGTTCTACGTTAAAATACACCGTTTTAATTACGGACAACACTATGGTTTGATACAAGGATTTCCGTACAAATATAAATAACCTTTTTATATACGGATATAAAGAATTCCGGTTTTATTGAAGTGAAAACTGAAAAGCCCAGAAATTTCCATATAAGCGAGTTTTACTATATACAAATCGTTTTCTATTATGTATTTTTGTCCTTTACGCTGCCCATTCAAATTATCCCCTTTTTATTGAATTGTCATTTTAAATGAACAAAGATTTGTTTCATAAAAATGTTTTAATATTGTACCTTGTCTATTGAAGTTCTGTTTAGCTGTAAATGTTCCTCTTTTGTTAGTCTGCCCGGGTTTTGTTGTTTCTGTAGCTCCATCCATATCCACGTTATTGTCCTGCAATTAAAATCATAACTAGAAAAGATCTTCCTCCAAGTGAACAATTTTATAATAGTGTTGTGCTTTGCATATACTTTGCCTAAATAGCAGTCAGGGTTTGACAGATGGTGCATGCACAAGCCGGAGGCGAGTGCACTATGTGTCAAACCCTGACTACTATTTAGGCTTTATATATGCAAAGCACAACACTATTGTTATTATTATGCTGACTGTTTTATGAAAATGACATTTGTTCAATTATTTCCCCTGTGCAGACATCAAATCTCATTGATAATTTTTATGTATATTCCTTTGTTACGTGTTATACGAACAAACGTTTTCATTATTCCCTGCACTTAGTGTAATATGATGTGTAAACAGTAATATTATAAGTACAGAATTTATTTGAATATTTTTTTCCGTTATCACTGCATGTTATATCAACCTTTTTTGGTTCTCAAACATGTAAGTACTTCCCTTTATGACGTCACGCTTTGCTACATGTACGTCATATTTTTTGAGTGCTGCATGCAGTTGAGTATAATGAACAAATATTTACATTCCACATGTATTTTGCTTTTAAAGTGTGAGGAAAGCTACGGCATTCAACACACCATAACACGGACAGGGGGTCAAAAGGTTAAAGTATGCGTTTCATTTTTACGTCACAAACTTTGAGCGCCGTTGAAATGCAACGTCATAAGCAAAAATCAAAATTCACGCTCACTTTGAACAGAGGCTATTGCAACGGCTCTTCCATTAATTGTAACTTACCCGAAGAATAATACAGGGATTTTGAAATATAAATCACATTTGCAATCAAGGCAAGGAGTTAAAAATGTAAATATAAGCATTGAATCATTATTTTTTGCAAGATATAGTCTCATAACTGCAGCGGTGTGTGCAAACAAATTTTCATAACGCACTAACGCGCTTTACTCAATTTGTTCGCACACACCGTTGCAGTTATGTGACTATATCTTGCAAAAAATAATGATTCAATGCTTAAATAGTTTCAAAGAATTTTAGTAGAGTAAGGTTACATGAAACTATTTGGAAAAATTACTTTGTTTATTTTTCCTTTAGGTGTCAAAATACGAAACTACGTTTATATACATTAAAATGCAATGAATTAGCTAGAGGCTTCTGTGGCGTAATCGGTAGCGCTTTGGATTGACCATCTGAGGGTCGTGGGTTTGATACCCGGCGTGGACGTTGTCGGATTTTCTTTAAAAAAGAAACCGTGTACTATTTCGGCATAGTATGCTTACGCTTTATAAATCCTTAGAACACTATGCGAAAATAGTTGGGTATTGATTATATAAAGACAAACTGACAGGAAGCATAATAATACTTGATAATTGGAAATTTAATTTATAATCTAAAAAAAAATTAGAAACACATCAGAAAGGATATCTATTTCAGACTACTTTCAGTTCTTCTCAGTTAATTTCCGTTCATAACCGGAAGTGCTTGAAACAAATGAAAATCGCAGTGTAAAATCTTAGAATCATCCCTTAAGGTTTCCTTAGTTCTGTTGACTGACAGGGCTTTAAATGAAACAATGCTTCTAATGCTTTTTTCCCTTAGGTTAAATATTTCACCTCCATATCACATCACATTAATCAAATCAAAAGTAAAATTCCGTTAAAGAAATGTGATAGATTTTTATTGTATTCTTTATTTTTAGTATATTATATACAATAATAATTGTCAGGACATTATTTTTTATATTGTTTTGTCTACGGATGTGACAGATCAACAGGGATGCTTACTCATTCATTGCACCAGATTGCACCTCTGACTTTTTAGGTCATCTGAGTCACTCAGGTGACCTATTGCTATCTGTTTTCGTCCTTTTGAACATTTTTAACTTCTTCTCTAGAACCGCTCAACCAATTTCAACCAAATTTGGTATATAGCATCTATGGATAAAGGGGAACAAAAATTGTGAATTTCATGGTCCGTGCCCCCCCCCCCCGGGGCCTGAGGGGTGGGGCTAAAATTACCAAAAATAATGCAATCTTTAAAAATCTTCTTCTTTACTCCTGAACATCAAGCAGTCAAACTGTTGGCATCATTGTAATAAGCATTGAGCCCTCTACCAAAATTGTGAAATTCATGGCCCCAGGGTCAGGGGTTCTGGCCCCAGGGTGGGGCTATATAGATCATGTAGTGAAAGTGCATTATTTCTTTGAAAATCTTCTTCTCTGCTCCTGGGTATTAAATAAAGTTACTAACTACATAGTTATGATGAGCAAGAGTGCCTCTTCCAAAATTGTGAAATTCATGGCCCCAGGGTCAGGGGTTCTGGTGTTAGGGCGGGGCTCTATTGATTATATAGTGAAAATACATTAATTCTTTGAAAATCTTCTTCTCTGCTCCTGGGTATTAAATAAAGGAACTATGTACATAGTTATGATGAGCAAGAGTGCCTCTTCCAAAATTGTGAAATTCATGGCCCCAGGGTCTGGGGTTCTGGTGTAAGGGTTGGGCTCTATAGATTATATAGTGAAAAAGCATTAATTCTTTGAAAATCTTCTTCTTTGCTCCTGGGTATTAAATAAAGTAACTATGTACATAGTTATGATGAGCAAAAGTGCCTTTTCAAAAATTGTGAATTTCATGGCCCCAGGGTCTGGGGTTCTGGTGCTCCTGGGCATTAAGGTGATAAACTAAGTACATAGTTATGATGAGAAGGTGGGCCTCTTCTAGAAATGTGAAATTCATGGCCCCTGGGTCAGGGGTTCTGGTGTTAGGGTGGGGCTCTATTGATTATATAGTGAAAATGCATTGATTCTTTGAAAATCTTCTTCTCTGCTACTGGAGATTATTTAAACAAACTAAGTGCATGATTATGATAGACAAGGATGCCTCTTCCAAAATTTTTAATATATGGCCTCAGTTTTTGGGGTTCTTGAGGAGGGGGGGGGGTTCTATTGATTATATAGTGAAAAAGCATTAGTTCTATTAATTAATCATTAACTAATCCTGTCTGCTCCTTAGTGTTGAGCTGATAAATAAATTGCTTAGCTATGATGAAAATGGGAGCTTCGAACAGAATTTTTAAATCTAGTGGTCCTAGGGTCAGGGGTTCTGGCATAACGGGGGGGGGAGGGGGGGGGGGCTTTTGATAATATAGTGGAAAAGTGTTAATTCTTAGAAGTCCATAGTTATGATGATGAGGGTAACTCTTCCAAATTTGTAAATTTCTTGACCCTTGGTCTTGGGTTCATGTGTTAGGGTAAGGCTTTGTTGAATCTGTAGTGAAAATGCATTGTACCTGTGAAATTCTTCTCTGCTTCTGGGCATATCGGAAGCAAACTGAGTAAAAGTTTAAATGATATGAGTAAGCGTATTTCCACCAGATTTTTAAACATCTGGACCATTCGTCTAAGCATTCTGGTCCTGGGCAGGGCTCTATTAACTTGTATTCTACTGAGAGAAGTTATTCCCCTTTTCCATTCACCTTTGATAATTAATCACTGTAAATAATGTATTTGAAAGGTTAATAGAATAAGATAATTATGCAAGAATGTTTATTGTATAATTAAAAAAGTACTGTCTTAGTTTTAATAATCAGGTAGACCTGTAAGTAATAGATAAATAAAAATGAGACAAAAATAACTTATCTTATTAAAAGTTCTTCAAAGACCATAAGAGAGGTCATTGCTAGAGGTCTTATATGGGTTTAAAAATAGTACAGAGGCACTAATAGTTTGTTAATAGTCTGCATGGTGATAGTGTTAAGTGGGGGACAGATTAGAACTTAATTTATGAGTTGATACTGAATACTAGACTAATTATTTTGTTGATCCTGATCTTCCTACTTCTCTTGCTTTAGGGCAACAATGCTTCATCTATCAGTGTATTTAACTTCTAAATTGCAATTGTTGTATTATACTCAGGTGACCGTTAAGGCCCTTGGGCCTCTTGTTTTTTTTTTTATTTTTATTTGCTCTGATCTCAATTTGTATTATATAAATGGACTTTGAGCATGAGCGCAGATCCTTTTTTTTTAGTCATTTTCAAAATGAAAAGTCCACAGAATTTTCCGCTTGATTGATAATGTCAAGATGAACACGGCAGGTGTGACCGTTCGACAGGGGTTGCTTACTCCTTCTTGGTAGCTGACTCCAACTCTGATATTTGAGGTTTTCGAGACTTTTAAGCTTGATTACTGTTCTTTAACTTTACATTTCATTTCATGCTTTATTTCTCAAAACGAGTTGAAATAGCTATTCCAAAAGAATTATATAGTTTTTTTTAATTGAAAACAAGTGCCTATTTTTGGTAGTGGCCATTATTTACTCCCCAAATCAAACTTTGATGTAGAAATCTGGCCCCGGGGCCATACAACTTAGATGAGCTCACTTTGGATCTCAGTCTCACTTTTCCCTTATATATTCCTTTAGTTAAAGTGAGACTGAGATCAAAAGTGAGCTTGTCTAAGTTTTATGGCCCCGGAGCCTAAAATTATGTTCTAGGCCAAGAGGATATATAATTACGCTGACTTCTAAGCATTTCACATTTTCTTCATCTTGACAACATAAGGTAGATGTCGCGTCAAGAAATAAAGTAAATTCCACATTTCAATGATTTCGAAAGAAAACAGTGTATTTTACGTCGAAAATTTAATAAGAAAATATCAAGCGCAGGTCTGGTCAGACTCTTTTATTATAATGTGTAGAATGATAACATTTTATAATGTTATCATCAATGAATATGTGAAAATAGATCCTGAGAAAGTTTGCCCGGTATAAAACTTTAAGTCGTAACTTGTCAAAATTTGTGGATTCTTTTCTCTTTTATAAAACAATAAAGGAAATTCTCAATTGTTTGTGACAACACAGAGTTAAAAATGCCTAATTGATAATGCATTGGGATTGTCAAAATCTTATATTTATGGGGTCAGAGATATGTTTGTACCATATTTCTTCACTTACAATTTTATTCATAGTCATCAACGTTTTTGAGGAAATAACAAGAAGTTAATTGTTAATTTTATTTTATTGGAATTTTATATAAAGCTTTAAAATAATAAAATAATGGACATCTTAAAGTAAAATTATTACAAACAAAATTTGATTGATTGATTGCATGGTGTTTAACGTGTCGTTCGAGAATTTTTCACTCATGCATAGACGTCATCAAATACCGGTGAAGGGCTTCAAATTTAGACCTTTACTCGGCACTCAGGGTCATTGAGCAGTGAGGGTTCTTTATGGTGCCAACTCTACTGTGATACAGGGCCTCGGTTTTTAAGGTCTCATCCGAAAGACAACTTTTACTTCAAAGTGCCGAGCGCTTGGCGAAGGAACAATTGCTACCTATTCTTTATCGACTCAGGTCAGTGGCGGCCGTGATTCGAACACACTACCTTCGAATCATGAGCGAGCGCTCTACCGACTGAGCTACCGTGACGGCCAAACAATATTTAAAAACTGTTATATAATTAGGGTAAGTATGTACTCTCCACTAGGTACGGAAAGAAACAGATTATCCACTCACTTATATAAGTTTTTTTTAAAGAAAAATTCAGCTATCATAAGCAGTTTCAAAGAAACTAAAATATTTTAGTATTATAAAGGAAATTTATAGTTTGATTTCTGTTTCCTTCAAATGTAACCATAAACAACTACAATAAAATTGATTTATCCCGATGATGTGTTTTCTCATTTATGAACACTAAAAGTCCCTTTTTTAAAAGTACAAGATTTACAGTATACACAGAATGATTTGTTTGATGTTTTGCCTAATTTCATACCATGTTAGGCAATTATTTTTTGGCGTGATTTATAGGACAAGGAGTATATTATTATGTAATAATATGTTAATGTGTTGTTAACTAAGATGTAATATGCGCATCGCACAGACCTTGGAAAGCATGTGATTTTTGCATTTTATATTTCACATGACAAGATAATATTCGTTAAATTGATGTAATTATTAGGGACAGTGCTATCAGAAACCCATTCATTCAGTCATAAATTTAATTTTATTAAAACTGCACATTGATTCTTTTTTCGTATACTTTTAAAAACTTTTTTTGTATCATTATAACCTTCGTATACGTAAACAAAATGCACATGTTTTATTTTATATATTTATTATTTTTCTTTTACAATAAATTTTATTTCATGTGTAGAATATGACGTTTTTTTTCAATTTGCTTCTGTTGCATTTCATTTAAAAAATGATATAGTTATCAATAATTATAGAGACAAAATCTAAACGTTTGCATGAGCAATTGAATTATCCGTAATAAAGATCATTGTCTTTAAAAAATAAAATAAAGAGAAGTAATTTTTATGCAATTTAAAATGTCAAATTGTGCAAAATTATTAGAAAAAATTTATTACAAATTAATATTTTTTTTTGAGAATAGCTTTTCGTAAGAGTTGTTTTAAAATGTGGCAACATCGTTTCTTGCAAAAATTCAAGCAGGCTATCAAATAAATAGACGCATGCATAGCAGCATATCCAAGCGTTCAAATGTTTCAAGTTAAAGTACATTTTTCTTTTTTAATTTCCTTTTTTTTATATTTAATTCTTTTTTGTTTTCTAAATAAAAGAGAAAGTCAAAATGTTGCATTTACTTTTTCAGTTGAATTACTAGCGTATATCGTTTTAAGCTAAAACAAAACATAGATTGAGTTTTTAACAAAATATACAAACCAAGTGTTGTCTAAGGTTTCCATATCCGGTGGTGGCTTCTTTACCAATCATTGTCTGAGATTTACAATTTCCTTCCGCCTTTCGATGTCCAAAATAATTAAATATATACTAATCGATATTATTGTAGAAATCAGAACATTAGGTGCACCTTTTATTATTCAAAATGCACGCCCTCTTGCAAACTTGCATATAAGAAAAAACTGTTAACTCCTGTCAGATTTTTTTCTGCAGAATAAATTTTGTCTAGGATTTGGTCACATGGACTGTTTGAACAAGTTTTACTCGTTAAAATTTCTGTCACATGGGACTTATTTGGCATGCCTTTTGATTAATCCTTGAGACTGCCATTTATTGCAAGACTTCCGTCCAATGACAAAACTTTTCACAAGTGCTGGAGTGTGTCTGTTCTTGCAATTTAAAGGTTTGCCTTTCAGTAAAACAATATAAAAATATAAATATGTATATTATGATGTTTATATATATATTAGGGATGTCAACGAGTACCCGGTTAACCGGGTACTCGATCGAACGTCCGAGTATCGAATACTAAAAATGGTACTCGGTTACTCGGATGTATATTTTTTCTTATTTCAAACTACATATTTTTTTCAAAAACTTATAAAAAAAAAAAAATAACTTAAATATGCATACGGTAATTAGCGTGTCGTCATCTACACCCGTAAAAGGTGTGTTCCCGTTTTGCACACATTCAATAATTAGGTATGGAACAATAGGTGTGAAATATGTTATGATAGCAATTATAGTCTGATCTCCGTTTGGCAAACCCCCGTAAAACACCCGTTATATCGCCTGTGTATATACAGTAATTAGTGACCAATCATTTCGTACACAACTGTTCTCACGTATTGTGGTCATTTTTTGGATGGCTTCAATGATTGTTTTCAGTGAACATCATTTAAGTATGGTCTATGATATTATCTTTATATACGGCAGCGAAATCGGACATGCATAGAAATGCCGCTACCCACTTCAAAAGTGAAGAAATATTTAGAAATGACTAAAGAATCAGAAAATGTTGAGTCAATTCGCGTCGCAAGTTTAGTGTATACGGGGGAAACAACCAACATATGAAATAATATTAGACCAGCGATCCCAACAAATTCCGTTCCTTCTCTTTCGCTAGTCTGATCATCAAACCTGCGCAACAGATTGTGCTTATTTTGCATTGATCAAATACTAGTAGATCCTAAACAAGAACTGTAAAACATTTGTAATTTTCGGTGTATAAATTTTGTATTTTGTGTTTATTTGATAAATAAATCTAGTAACAAAAACCATTTCCGTTGGAATCGATCTTTATATACATTAATAAACGTGATAAGAACAACCTTGAGGTTTATCAGAGCTTAACGGGGCTCAAGAGCACACTTTTTTTTTTCATTTTTACCGAGTACCCGGGTACTCTATCGGAAAAACGTCCGAGTAACCGATTGTTAAATATTGACCGATTTGACATCCCTAATATATATATATATATATATATATATATATATATATATATATATAAGAAAAAGGAACGGACTGCAAGCGAATATTCATGTCTTCTCCCTACATTTCGAAGTCCGAAATTAGTGGAAAAACTACATAAAATAAACATCACTCTGAAATTATGTTTATTTTCTGACTGTCTAAGTACTGATATCCATGAAAATTGGATATTCTTGTTTTTTTCTATCACTGCTATTGGAAACTGTAATTAATTGTTAAATGTTTTACGCTGGCCCCAAAGTAAACACGTCTTCTAACAACGCTTTCCCTGAAAGTGGAAAAAAGCGTTATAAGTAGGGAACACTAATTATGGAGCAGAAACTGACGTCGTCATTTTAAACAAATCAAACATTATATCACTTTATGGCATTTTGACTTGTATAATTAAACTCTCAGATAGAAATTAATTTGTTTTTTTTACCTGTTTTTACCTGAAAAAAAAATTAAATGACAATGCATAAAAAATTTAGGTTATGTGTGATACTTGTAAATTCGCATTCTTCCTAAAGCATGCCTGTACGATAAAAATGAAAAGGATTGAAAACTGATACGTTCGGATTTTAATACACTGTATGTTTGATAGAAGTCAAACTTGGCACTTTTCTTATTAATTTGGACAAGACATCCAGCATCACTAGAGAATATGGACATAATAGTTTCATGAATATTAATGAAGGAAATTCAATAAATATCAGCATGATGCACTTCAAACAAAATAAGAAAACGCTAACTTAATTGAGGTTTTTATTTCAGTGTACATAAAGAAGTTTGTGTTGATACGCAAATATTTTTTTTTTTTTTTTTATAAAAATGAGTTTTTTCATGTTTCATATTTCCTACTGATTTTAATCGAAAGATATCATTTTTTAAAGTCATATTTTTGTTATCGTTTATCTTGGAGATTTGATATAAGAATCATTTGGTAAAGAACTTTTTTCTATTGAAAAAGGTGGAGATAATAAACAGAAATCCATCTCCAAAAAAAAATCTACAATCAATACAAATCTATGGACAGGGCATAAAACACAGACCCCCGAAATACCAGAGGTGGGATCAGGAGCTTAGGAGGAGTAAGCATTCCCTGTCGACAGGCAACATCCACCCAGAACCTGATGTATTGATCAAGTAGACGCCATCCCGTAGTCAAATTTAGCATAAAAATAAAGGCCTAACAATTGGCATGAAAAACGTCGGCCAAAGTACGACTAAACGATAAGTTATGATGGGTTATATTTGCTAACAAGGTCGATAAAATGATCATAGAAGAAAAGACATTCTAACTTTGAACAAGGTGTTGAAATCTCTGTAACTTTAACTTATCTGTTAGTAGTCTTCTTCAGATGAAATATTGATCGTACTCTGAGCATTCTCTGGTTTCAGAGACGTAAACCATATGCAGGTGATAGTGGAATATTTCTACATATATAAGGAAAAATGAGAGTTGACAAAGGAAAAGTTCAGGTCATTTCGTTTATCATACAGTTTAATTTTCAGTTGGTCCTTATCGTTTGTAGTCAATAAATGATTCAAATATGAAACAGATGAACGGAAGTTGCAGACTGTGATATATTGTATTTCGAGTTCACTTTGATATATCTTTTTTCCTCCTACAGGATTTTTCTTTCTCCTATGGGAAGGTAAATTCCCCTAGGAAATAAAATTCTCCCTTGGTAAATTAATTTCCTGCAGGAATTCTGAAATATCCTACAGGAAATCATCGAATTCCATAGGATTTTGATAATATCCCTCAGGAATTTTAATTTTCCTACAGGAACTTAATTTTTCCCATGGGAATTTTCTTTTCAAAGTGGTTATCTCACCTGACAGGTGAGATTCACCTGTAACAAAGGTAGTTTTGAACTCTGTAAGTGATGGTCTACCTCATGGTATATATGGATTTTATGTAAACTAAGAGTTTGGCGAGCGCCGATTTGCCACTTTGCAAGTGGCAGATTTATCCGGCACAGTGTTTAATGTTCAAAGGTTTCTATTCCATTCTTCTTTTCGCAAAATGCATTATATCACATGATCGCTATTTTTTTTTCTTTTGAAAGACGTTACTACGTATTACGTATCTGAGTCTTTAATCTGCTACATATGTGTGTGGAAGATTTATTTACTGTTAACTCTGTTTTTGTTTATTTCTCAGATATTCGTTTTTTTTTCTCAAAAATGTCAGTAAACAGAACAAATGTATGAAAAAATAAAACATTTTAGTGTTTATATCTGATCCTCGAGATCTGTGTTTTAAATTTTATTAACTAAAAATAGTCCTTCCCTGCCTAATAATTCATTAAATAGAAGGCACATAAAATATTTTTGATGATTTTCATAATAATTGCATTGCCCGTTCTTAAAAATGCAAAACTTTCCAATTTCTGCACATGAAACAAATGAAGCACAGATACTCTTAAAGTAAGATAAATTACATCAAATTATCCTTTATTCAAAAGAACTGTTACTTGGGAAAAAAAAAAGCAGATATACGTTGCCCATTTTGTTTAGTTTTCTCTCTCTTTTTTTGGTTGTATTTTTTAGTTCTCGTTTAACACCTTGTTTTTATGCCTTATATTCAAAACTTACAGTAAAAATTTAAAATTCAATGATGAAAGCTCTTTTTTAACGGTTTTAGTAAAAATATAAAAAGGTTGAATGAAAGTATGTGCAACACTTTTTAATGCACATATTGGAAAAAATACATAATCATTAATTGATATTTTCTCTTAACATGTAAGCAATTTTACTTTTGATACCTGTTATGCATGCATATTGTAGTTTGGGTTTGATTCAATGATGTTTTTGTTTCTGTTTCAGCTAATAAAGAAATAAATCTTTTACCACAGCTCATAATCTCTATGTCATTCTATTAGTATACATAAATAATGTCACTATTTTTAGTTTTAACAAATGTTTACCATTATTTCCATGCCATCCACACCATAACTCTTTTGTAATTTTTTTTTTAACACCGGACTTCGAGACTTCACTTAAATAATGTTTTGATTGAATATTCCACTAATGACATTTTATCACATACTAAATGATTATTAGTTGTCATACAAAAATTCCTAATGACTTACGAGGGTTGTCCCAAAATTCCGTAGACAAGCATCGTTTTGTAGTAACCCAGTGTCATACATTAATGAATCTTTCAAAATAACTAAAACTACTAACAACTAATATTTTTAATGTAAAAAATTGCGTAATTACAGATTTATCCTATTTAAATGAAATAATTCAATGTCTGATGTAAAGAGGCGGCGCAATCTCAAAATTTGCTATAAAAATCGGTATATAAAATGTAAAATCTCGCAAAAAAGAATTTTTTTTTTTTCAAAATTTTCAGGGATAAAAATGATAGTTTCTCAAATGACATAAATAACTATCTTTATTCCAATTTTAACGCATATGCCTTCATTAATAAGAATTTTATAACGTTTATTTGCACTGGTTAGACACTTGACTGTTTCAAAAAATGACGCCGTATTGACACAGGCGGCGGCGCAATGGAATTTTGATAAGATGTAGTTCAGAACTTTAATTCACCCCCAACTGAGGTGCATTAGAAGAGACAAATGTTTGAAACACATTGATATATTCAAGTTTGTATTATTTGAATGACATAAGCAGTTTTTCAAGGTATATGTGGAAAACGATGCAATGAAAGAGTCCAGCAG